TACTGAACAGGCCTAGGCTGAGCTGGGGGCGCGCCTAGCGGGGGCTGAACCCAATCCACACGACCCCTCACGCCTCCTCTCCAGTCAGAAAAGAGGCGGGCCCCGCTCCCTTTTATTTCTTTTACAAATAGAAAAGTTACCCTCAGTCTTGTTGCGCTTGAATGACAATAGAACTATTAAAGAGAAGCCTCGGCAAGCGCTGACTGCTCTTTGGCACTGTTGTCACGGCCCCTGCGAGTCTACAACGCCGAAAATACTCTTCCAAATCTTAGACGTTTCCTCCCCATCACCAGCCAGAACCACTGAAGCCTCGCCTTCACCTCTCTCAATAATGTGATCCAAATTTCAAACAATACGCCAGGGAGATGTAATCAGTTGTGAACGGTTTCGAGTGCTGAAAAACTCAGGGCACTTGGTGGAAAGCGCACTGAGAGGGCAAGTCCCTGGAAGTGTCAGGTAGCAGGTCGTTGCTGAGCCTGGAAAACACGATCACAGTGGAGAAGACCAGATTCCTGAGGGTAATGCCCTGAAGAGGTGGGACCCTCATGTGCTGCAAACTCTGCTTCCTCCTCTCTTAGCTCCTAGAATAATCATACAAAAGGCCTGGCACGTGTAATAGGCATCTTGTACTTGAAAAAAAAAGTTCAAATGGCAACTTCATGCACGCCTTCCCTTCTGTTTTCACCCGAAATACCTTTCATGCCTTCTTAAAACATGACTATATCAAGTCTGTCCAGTGGCCTACAAACTAAAAGTTTCAACTCTAGCGTGGCCTTCAAGACTTAATGGAGGGTAGTCAGGCTTTCCCTTGTAAGGGTGGCACAGTAGATGACCATTGAACCCAACCTTGAAGAATGGGGAATATCAAGGAAGTAGAAAGTCGGACTCACCCACTGCCATCAAGTTGATTCAAGCTGCTAATGACCCCACAGGACAGAGTAGAACTGCCCTTTAGGGTTTCTGAGACTGACAATCTTTACAAGCACAGATAGTATCTTCTTTCTCCCTGGGAGAGGCTAGCTGACCTTTAGTAACCCACAGAGCAAGCAAGGCTCCTTAAAGGACTATTTCAAGTGTAGGAAGCTAAATTCAAAAACAAATTCAAAAGCAGCTATTTAGAGCTGTGAGTAAAAATCGAGTTGATGGCAACTAGATAGGTGGGGTTTGACTTCCTTTTGTTTAGGTGTTTGCTTAACTCCATCTCCTCTGGCCCACCCAGTTCTTTCCCTTTGTTTTCAGACAGGACTTCCAGAAGCAGATGACTGCTAGCCCCAGGGCACAGAGGCTGACGGTCTTTGGTTTAAATTTCTTGCCTTGAGGGTGCCCAACGAATGGTGGCAAAGAACTAGTGTTTGAAAGTCCTCCTTGCTGCATTATGACATATTAATCTGGTAGGCATGGATCTGCCTTTGTGAATGAATACTATTGTAAGATTTGCCCTCTCACCAACATCCATTGTTTGTATTAAGTGTCCAGTCACTTAAGAGTTCAATCTGTACAAGTCAACAATTCATGCATTGCAATTCATAACTGGCCTGGCCTATACTCGTATGCTTTCCTTTTCTCAACAGTGTTTTAAATTCTATACCATTATGACACTCTCAGTGTGTAATGGTTACACTTTGAGCTTCTAACCCCGTGGTCAGCAGTCAGAAACTACCAGCCAACTCCTGGGAGAAAGAGTTACAGTTAGTCTCAGGAATTTCCTGCACAGTTCAACCCTTCCCCATAGGATGACTATGAGTCAGCATTGACTGGCAGTGGAAAGGATGCCCTAGGGAGGATGATTGATAAGATTCTCTAATATAAAATGACAATGATGTCTTCTTCTAAGGTGAACCAAAGACATACATAAAGTAAACCAAAGATATATGAATGGATTTGGGGTTGCAATTCTAGCCCCAATCTAGGAATGGTTCTTTCTTATGACAAGGCCCTGCTTGATAAGGATGGATCCCTGAAGATATAGCTGCTATAGGAAAACTGTGGGAAAGAAACTGGATGGTGCCCCGCTGTCAGAAGGAGGTCATAAAGGCTTGTCTTCAAACAAGCAGCCCCTCTAAGTGAGGCATCAACTAAGTCCACATGAAAGACCTATACCAAGTCTGTGTAACTCAAGAATTATAAATAATAAAATCCAAATCTGAAAGAGGGAGCCATATCAGAGC